TTTAACAAATTTTTTTTTTTTAATTTAACACTATCTACAGATTTGCATCGAAGCGATTTTTATGATAGTGATTCTAATCACTGTCAGATATCATCTATACTGGACCCAACTATGGCACGACCTCACTGTGCTGGATTTTTTTTTTTTTATAGTGATTTTAATCACTGTCAGAAAATATTATACTTGATCCAACTATGCCGCAAATCCCCTGTGCTGGGTTTTTTAACATTATGTTGCTATAACTTTTTAAAAAATACATGAATCAATTCTATTCTTTAATGATAAGTACTTTATATATACTTCTTTCATTCGACATACTTTTTTTTTAATTCGGAACATTTCCCTTTATGCATGGGGGGGGCAAACAGTTAAAAATGCTTATAGAAAGTAGAACTATTCAACTTAACTTTTGAAAATATTCCGGAAAGACTGACACTTTTATATATACATTAAATTAAACCTTATGTAATATACTTTAATTAAAAAAAAAAAAAATTGACCTGTAGACTTGTTTTCATAGTGAAAACGGACATAAAAGTTAAAGATAGAAAATGTCTAATTGCAGATTTGAAACACAACGCGAAAAATTGATTTAGAAAAGTATATTTTTGCTTCTGATGAAAGTTCCTTGTAGTCCAGTACATTTATTTATAGTAACAAACAGTTTTTATTAAAAAATATTGCGTCAAGCCCTTTAATTTTTATACACGAAAAAGTAAAGCAATATATAACTACTTTATTATTTTTATAATTTCTTTGTATAAATTACAATATTAAATTATTGAATATCAATTTCATACTAAATTTAATAACTATAATTAGTATTTATTCATATAATATATTTTAAAATCAAAGAACTACTAATCGGAGTATAGATGATATCTGACAGTGATTAAATAACTATCATAAAAAACGCTTCGATGCAAATATGTAGATAGTGTTTAATTCTAAAAAATTGATGGATTATTCCAAAAGCTACATGATCTGCTAGTTCATTATTATATCCTAATTAAGNGCTACATTATCTGCTAGTTCATTATTAATATCCTAATTAAGATAAAGTATGTCGAATGAAAAAGGAATTATTAAAAAATATTATTTCTCATAAAAAAATTATGTTGATCCATACATTTTTCAAATAGTTATAGCATAAAAAAANGATCAATACACTTTTCAATAAGTTATAGCATTATAATGTTAAAAATGTAAAAAATAAAATCGAAAATTTTCACACAAAAATAGCATTTGGTAGCCATTTTCACCTTGAAGATAAAATAAAGTCCGAAATTTTTTTTTTCCATGATAAAGTATATTACATTAGCTTTAATTTAAGATATATATAAAAGTGTCAGACTTTCCGGAACACTTTCAAAATTTAAGTTGAAAAAGTCAATTTTTTGTGAAAAAGTTGTCATTTTGAATCCCCCCCTGTAGGCAGGTAAAAAGTCAGATTTATAAAAAAAATATACCAAATGATAGGTAAAGACATCATGCATCTACAAAAAAAAGAATTATATTGATCCATACATCTTTCGAGAAGTTATAGCATTATAAAGTTAAAAATATAAAAAAGAATTTTTTTACAAAAATCGTATTTTTTTTATTAAGTTTAATGTCTGTTTTCACCATGAAGATAAAATAACGTCCGAAATTTTTTTTTTCCATTATAAAGTATATTACATTAGCTTTAATTTAAGATATATATAAAAGTGTCAGACCTTCCGGAACATTTTCAAAAATCAAGTTGTCATTTTAAATCCCTCCCTGTGGGCAAGTAAAGGGTCATATATAAAAAAAATATATACCAAATGAAAGGTAAGGATATCATGCATCTATATAAAAAAATTATATTGATTTGGTTATTTTTAAAAAAGTTATAGCAATTTTAAGTAAAAAAAATTGAAAAAATTTCGAAAATTAGCGATTTTTAAATTTGTAATTTTTTTTGAGGTTTCCCCCATTTACGTGGAACGAGGGAATTTTTTTCAATTTTTGAGAGTAATGTCTTCGACTAGATACGATTTGTGATCTTTTGACGTATCATTGAAAGAAATCGGTTCGGTGAGAGGTGAGAAAAAGTGGTAACAGACACACACAAAAAAAAAAACACATCTTAGTAATTATATCCCGATTAATAGTTCTTTCATTTATAAGTATAATATTTTAATATGAATAAGAAATTCTTTCTCCCTAGGGGAGACCACAGTAATGACGAGTGCTTGATATTCAATGAAATTATTCGATCTAAATGAGATAAAAATCAAATGAATTTTAAATTTTTATTCCGTCTCAAAAAAGAATTCAGAAAAAAATGCAAGAAAAGTTATTTCGACAGCCGGAGTTCGTTTCTCTAACGTATGGGACTGTATAATATTCGACGCACCATCAAAAATTCAAAATGAATTTTCTTAACTTTAAGGAGGCAAAATAATTAAAATAAGTTTAAATTTATATTCAATATAAGTTAGATTCATGTAACTTGTATGTATATATTTGTTTTATTTACCCATTTTTCAAAATTTATGACAATTTTAATTAGAAAAGTTTAAAAAATGTCGAAAATTACCGATTTTAAAAATTATAATTACTTGGAGGATTTCCACCATTTAAGGAAAACGAGGGAATTTTTTTTTTAATTTTGAGAGTAATATTTTCGACTAGATACAATTAGTGCTCTTTCAACGTATTGTTCATCAAAATCGATTCAGTGAGAACTGTAAAATAAAAAGGTAACAAAAAAAAAAAATAAACATATCATATAAATATTAATAACTTTTCAGCTTTGCATCGAAACTAAAAAAAATTATAAACAATTTTGTTCATACAATTAGAGTGGGTATTTAGCACAGATAGTATAAGTGTAGTATAGTTTTTATGTAGAAACTTTTGGAAGAGCTAAATTTTATTTTTCCCTCTTCAAAATATCATTTTTATAGAACAATTCATGTAATTTTGATAAATATTTGTAGGGATCAGGCCCCTAGCACCTCCAGCTCTTCTTTTTAACAGGTTTATAGAGCTTATATAGGTGTATATGCACTCTGCCACATACTCTTAGTAATGTATACCAATAGAAAATATTTGTAATGGATTCTATAAAATAAAAATTATTGTTAGTCTTATTTTTTCTATCATAATATTAAATTAAGAATAAGGGATTCAATTAAAAGAATTATTTTTTAACTCCGAAGAAATGAAAAAAATTTAATTATACATTATTGTAGAGTTATTTTAACCTAAAATTTTTCTTTACACAAATCTAAAATTCTCAATAGTTTTTTGAGAAAATGATACTAACCTTATTTTTATCATTTTCAATAAAATATAAAACTAACTTTAAATAATTTTAAAATACAAAATGGATAATTCGAATAGTTAATTATTATTAAAACTAAAAAGTAATATTTGCAAAGCAAACAAAAAAAAAAAGACCTCTTTCTAGTCCTGAATGTCTTTACAAAGTATAAACCTCTATTAAAAAGCCCTTATTAAGTAAATAAAAGCTATATTTCAACATTTATAAATAAAGAATATGAATTTATATAAATAACAAAAAAAGTTTATACCTCATATGTTCTCAGATCATGCTATATTTATTTAAAAAGTCCTCAACCTTATTAATGAAAGTTTTTAATAAATAAAAATGATCCCATGATAAAAAAATTACATATGATTAGTTACATTTTGGTAAAATATTACTAAAGAAAAAAAATTATGAGCATAACATTTGATAAAACCCTAGTAATTATAGAAAATTAGTTATAAATAATTAATATTGTTTATTATACAACTAATTCTGAAATTATATTACATAAAATACTTATTACTTGAAATAAATGCTTTAAAATTTAAAGGGTAATTTTTTAAGTGTACATCGTATACTACAGTTAGGTCTCGGCATTGTATACATTTATAAATTTAATTTAAACTACTATGAACAAACCTAAGTTTGTGTAACTTTGCCATATGATTATATTGTAGAATAGACATATTTTTGAGTTTTAAGTAAAGGTTTACAACCCTAATCACTCCTGATCTACAACTTCAAACAACACATGTCTAAAATTTCATGTCAATTAATAAAAATTTGTACTGGCTGATGATATGTTCAGAATAATTTTAAAAAAATTATAATGCATATAATTCTAAATACTAATTATAGTATGTCAAATTTATGTAAGATTTAAATGTTTCATTGAAATTTTCAAATAATAGGTAAAATTTCATCATAAAATTTTATAATGCCTTTTATTTATAATGTTTAGTTTGAAAGTTTATAATTTAAATACACTTATTTATTAAACTTTAATTAAATAAATATTTAGTTAATTAAATTTTAAAAAAATATTTAACTTTAAGTTTTTATTTTTGTCTTTAAATATTTCTCGGTAAGATATTTATAAGTATATAATAATAAATTATTCTTTAGAGCCTAACAAAATTATATAAAATAATAAAATTTAAGAAATTTTTAGTAAATTGTATTTTTTGCAAGAGTTATGAAAAAAATTTGGTTACTATATTGGTTATTAAATTAACGAATATTTTTAAAAATTTAACAAGTCAGTTTTTGAAAATAGCCACAAATTTAACCATATTATATAAATACAATTCATATTAGATACATCAGTGTATTTTTTATAGTTTAAAAACATTTTTTAATAATAAGTACAACAAATTCTAAAATTAAAATCAATTTTGCAATATTTATTTTTTCACTATAAAAAAAAATAGTTTATCAAATTAATATTATAGTAATATTTTTATTATAACATTACACAAAAATATCAATAAATTTGTTTATAAAATTTGTGTCATAAAAGATTTTAGTTGATTATTGTATATTTTTAATTCTATATATACTTGTTATTTGAAAACTTAAGTTTTAAAACTTTTAGTTTATTTTACCAATAATCAGAACACAATTAATATTTGTTAAATAATAGAAGTATATGAAGCTTCTGGATCATTAAAATATACTTCTAATTATTATAAAATAATTAAAAATAAAAGAATAACTTTATTTGTATGATAGAGAATATACACAAAATCAACTACTAAAAAATGATTTGTTACATTTGACAACTTCTTTTACAATAGATCCTCCTAAGGCGTAAATGTCCTCAATAAAAGCTTCTAAATTGAATTCTAGTTGTTTTTTTTCATTTGTTTTATTTAACTTTCTTCCATTTACATTATTTATCTAAAAATATATATATATTATTTATTTTTATATAGATGAATTTATTCATTTTATAATACCTTGAAATCAGTCAGAATAAAAGTATCAGGTTTAAAAACAATACCTATTGTATCTCCTCCAAATGTGTCATGGAAAAACAATGCAAACTCAGAATAACTAATCTAGATTCCAAAAAAAAAAAAAAACTGTATAAATTACTATTACCTTATACAATAGTATCTAAAATAAATATTTAATCAAGTAAAATAACTTTATCAATACCCTAAGATTATTTATCAATTCTTGAATAGGATTTAATCCAGTCAGTGGTATTTTTTCATTTTCTCTTGGTGGTTCTAATTCATAGACTTTATTAGATTTTGCATCAATAGCCATAAATCTGAAGGGATTCATTACATTTTTTAGTTTTACTAATACATCATATCCTTCTAGTGGAGGTCTGAATATTTGCTATAAGTATTAAATTTTAAGAATTATTATTAATTTTAATTTTAGAAAGACCTGTGAAAAATTACTTTCAAATCATCCACGCAACCATTTGTTAAGAAATTATTTTCCATAACTTCCAGAGACTTTTTAGACAAATGCATTAACCTTGCCAATATAGTAAAAGTTGGAGAATCTTTTGACCATGAAGTCCCTTTTAAATCAAATGGTGTTACCAGTATCATAGCAGATCGTGTTTTATTTTGTTGAGCTGCAACGGAACATTCTATTGCAGAAATATGATCCTCTACAATTAGTTAAGTTGTTAATTATTTTATTTTGAAACATATATATCTAAATAAATAATTAATTCTATCAAATTACTTGGAATATCACCATTAAAGTTGATTAAAACAAATTCTCTAAACCAATCTGTGGTAGCTAATTTGCGTAAGAAACGCATTAATCCTACAGTTGGTTGATAAATTATTCTAAATGGTTCAGGCTGTAAAAAAAAACTAGCCACTAATAATTCAACGCAGATATCTGGAAAATGATAACTGTCAATCAATTGACTTCTAAGCCACCGTTTGGCTAAACAACATGTTGGTCCAAAAGACTGATATTGCAGATGTAAACTAGATATTTTATTTTGAAATTTAATAATCATATGAAATTGTTTAAATAGTAAAATTATAACATAATTATTTTCAACATTTACCCATGTAATGAACTGGTTAATGTAGGTAACTGTACCATTAAACGTTCTAAATTTAATGATTCATCTGTATCTTTATAACGAACCATACCATCAGGCATTACCTCTTTCTTCAAAAGAGAAACCTCTCCCGGGTAGTATATTCGATAACGAAATACAAAACCATTCTAAAAAACATTAAGTTAAAAAATAATATTATATATATTACATGGGAACTGGTCATGTGTACAAAAAATCATATGTTTGAAAATCATGTGTTCAGAAATAAGTTTATTTCATTATTTATATAAATTTAAACTTAAATTTTTTTTAGAACTCATGCTATAAACTACTCCTATTTAAAAATCTATTATTCTTTTAGTTGTTATCTATTTTTTATCGCATTTCTTTCTCGGATTATATATTTTTTCTTCTAATTTGTTGGTTATGTATGATTAGTTCAATTTTTGTTTCAATCTCATGCTGAATCCTTTGAAACATTTTCAAAATTTTAAACATGCCAAGTTGTTTATAAACTAGTCTACAAATAACAAAAAAATATATTTTTTATTTTTATATGCAATCCCTCTACAATATTCATAATTCTTGGTAAATCAGTATCAACTCTATCAGTTACTGACCACAAGGAAAAATAGCAGTTTTTCTTAGGTTTAGTTTGTCCTAGTAAACTCATTGCAGGTTTACCATAAATATAAGTATTATCAAAATATTCAACAAATGTTTGTTCTCTTTCACTAATAACAAATAATTATTTTATGATTTCCCAACTCTCTATTACCTATTTATAAATTAATAATAAAAAATAATTTAAATAAGTAATTTCAGGAACATACTTTAAATATTGGTAAAAAAATATAAAGCTGGTAAATGACGACACAACAAATTGAAATCCTCATATTTTGTTTATCAGGACGATAATCCTTCTTTTTGTATATGTCGCCAAATAATTTGCTAAAATGAAAAAAAACATGTTGAATGAATTGCAAATAGGATAACTTCACTAATTGCGCTTATTGATGTTTATTCAAAATGGATAATTATTTTAAGATTCTTATTGTTTTCGAACTTAATATTATTTTCAATTGTGAATATATTTAGTTTAGTTGTAACATTTATATAGTTCTCTTCGCATATAGTATATGTAAACATAATATATTATAATTAATATGTATAGTTTTGACCACGCATAAGAATATAAACTATTAGTACACAAATTTCATCAGTTCTTTGAATTATTAATCCATTTACTCTACATATCTGTTTAATAATTGCTGGAGTAGATTTGACAGTATCATCAATTAATCATTATAATAATAACAGAAAAAATAAATAATTTACTATTCATCAAACAATTAACTATCAACATATGATGGTAAACCTATTTAAATTTATATTTCAGGTACATTTACTACATATAAAATAATTAACACGGTATTATATACTAATGTACAATAAAAATTAATAATGTATATTTACAAACATATGACTTTCATATACATTATTTTCGAACACATACCAATCCAACACAACCCCTCACCATCTATATAATACATGATAAAAAATAATAGAAATTGACTTATTACTCATACTTTCATAACATCAATATAATCAACAAATGGTTGTGATACTAGGTTGTATTCATTAGTTAATCGAGCAGCTAAATTAATATAAAAAGCTGTAATCATCCTTTTAACAGCATGTAAATCATTTGGCCACTTTCCACTTGAAGCAAATTGAATTATTCCTGTTATTAATGAAATTACATAAAATATTATAATAGAGATTAATCAATAATATTTACCTTCAATAGGTTGAACATAACCAGGTACTATTTTCATTTCATCAGTGGATGCCAAAACACAATTTCCTTTGGTATTCTTTATTCTTTTTTCATCAGTGTGAGATCTTGATAATGGTGGTATGACATCAGTATACCGGAGTACAGGAGATACTCCTTGCACTGATGTGACAGTTAAAGGTAGCCCATCTAATTCTCGTATAGCCTTGCCAACTTCATTAAAACTATCAATACAACGCATACTCGCATCTTCACCAGTCCCATACTCAAAACCAATTGGCTTAACCTAATAAAATAATTTTTAATTTTCAATTAGAAATACAGAATTATTGATTTAACATTGACAGCTAGATTTCTTAATAATAATTTTTAGAATTTTTTTTTTTCTTATTTATGTAGTATTTATTTCTTAAAATTTAAATGGTTAAATATTTTTTAACTTTATTTTTTTTAATGAAAATATACAAATTTAACTAGTTTATATAATAGAAAATTATCCAAATAAAAAAATAACAAGTTGATTACAAGTTCTAAGACAGTAATTTAAAAGTTATGAATTTTTTATAACTAAGTGTGAAAAATAGGATGACAGAGAAATGCATAATAATAAAAATAACATAATCCACACCTCTTCTACAGTCAACATTTAAAAATATTAATAACATATAAATATGGGATCAAAAGTTGTTATCGACCAGTTATATTTTTAGTTAGTTCATATTTTATTGTATGAACTAGTTAAAAATGTATGTTGTTAATTAAAAAATAAAGTTGGTATTCCTATAAGGGGTAAGGGTTAGATTTTTAAAATATTTTCACTTAAATAATTGAGAAATACAGAATACTAAACAAAATCAATAAAATTTATTTCAAAATTATTGTTTTAAGAGAAATTTAGTGATTAAAGACAAATTAATCGCCCTATAATAAATAAATAGGCTATAGTATAATATATTGACTAATTCCAATAGACTGTATACAAAATAAAAAAATTAATAAATAAGTATAAATATTTACAACATTTTACTCAATAACTTACAAAAGGATTTAAAAGAACTTCTTCTGCTTGATCTGCAATATAAATAAACTGTTCCGAGCTGATAGAAAGCTTATTCTTAAGCACATATTGAACTATATCTCTTATTATAGTACGTTTTTTATGAAAAGGCACTTTACTATCAACCCAAACAACAGCTTCACACACTTCTCCATCTTTAAATCGTCTCAACTGTGATTTCTCACCCCAAAACGTTCGAAACTCTTTTGCCTAAGATGAAAAGTCATTAGTAAATTTTATCATACTTAAAATAACTATAAGTATTTTACTTCAGGAAGATTAGCTGTTGGACCACGTTCAACAACAGAAAAAGCTTTTTCAGGATTTAACTTAAGACCAACAATAATGTTATTAAAACACTCCAAGGTTTTACCAACTTCACAAGGTTCTTGAGATATTTCAAAACAAATTTCTTCAATTCTATCACCAAGGCTTGATAATAACAATGGTTCAATTATTTGCTGGAACTGAATTAATAAATCCTCTCTTAAATCTAATTGATTTTTTTTCTGTCCATTTTTTTTTACTATTTCTCTTACTACTTTAATATCATGAAAACTTAAATCAGAAAAAAAAATAATCTCATAAAATGTTATTTTGATAAAACAAAAAGAATTGATTTCAATATTACTTAATAAATTGGTCAAATCTTTCAAAAAATGAAACCTTATTCAAAAACAAAAATGGAAAAGAATTAATTTTTGGGTTATCCAGCATTTCAACCGCGTAGTTTGATTGATTTTTTATCTGTAAAAAGTTTTACAATATAATGTTATGTGATAAAATTATTTGTACTTTTGTTTAATATTCATTAAAATTATTAAGTTTATTAAAGAAATTATAATTATTAAAATTATGACTTTTGAAATAAAATGATTGCAGAACAAACAATAAAACTCTAATTTTATGTTTGAAATTTATCACTTCAACTGTAACAAAATTTACCTAGATTGAATTAAAATAATTAGTTATATTACTAATATAAATAAAAGTTTAGTTAAAGCAACTGAATGTTGAACAATTTATCCTTTTTTAGTATCAAAAATTTAAATAAAATTTACTTTGGAACAAAGTTGCTATAATTGTTTTATAAGCTAATTAACCAAATAAAATATACTTTATGGGTTTTAAATTAATATAAAAATATTCCTTAAAAAAACCAAACTACTATATATATATACCCCATAATACAAACTTGAAAAATAACCAACAATGCAATTGATTATTTTTTTTTTATAGGATTATAAATCAAATTCAAGAGTTGAATTCTGACATAAATCAAATAACATAAATAAATAATTTGGATTTATTATAAATCAATAAATCATAGAAGTAACAATTAATTTAAACAAATATTAGGGTAAAATAGGTAAAAATTATATTAATAGACCAAGAATACTTTTCTTTATAAATCATTAATACAAATTAATAAAACCAGTGAACTTTTAAAAGCTTTGCAGCTTTTTCATGACCAATCAATTTTTATTTGTTTTTTAACTATAGAGTTTACTTTAGAATTTTAATGGACACAAAATGATTGCACAATTTGATAAAACAAATATAACCTATATAAAATACAGTGTAAACAAAAAAAAAAATTAATAAGGATTTTTTATACAGGTTAAATAAGTTATGTAAAAAACCCAGGGTAAATTTCAGCTTTTTAGGATTTAATGAAAAAAATTAAACAAACTTGATGTTTTTTAATTTTATTAATTAATATATATATATAAAGAGTATGATTTATTGTGTACGCTGCTATCCCTCATTTTTTTTTTTTTTTTTGTTTAATAATAAAAGAAAATTTAATTTGATTATTTTTATAAACTATAATAAATATTGAGTTAATTGTAACAAAAAATTACTTCCAAGAGCGACTTTGAAAGTCAAATAAAAACATACAATTATATTTTTTTCTATTTATTAGAGGATGGTCTAGATAAAATTTTGACTGATCGATAGCTAGTTTTGTATTATTACCTTTTGAGATATTAATATTTATTTACAGTATAATAAATCATACTTTATATAAAACAAATAATTACTATAAATTTACAGTTTAATATTATGAAGGTCCTTTAATAATTATCCTGAAATAATTTTATCACAGTACAACAAATTAAAATACCTAATACTTAAGCAATATTATTAAATACAACAAATAATGTAATACTAACATGAATATAATTTGATTTGAAAACATTGGCACAGAAGTTTAAATAACCAGTGGAGTCGATAAAAACAACTTGAAATGCTGAATGAAAGTCTGTTAAAGAAGGTTTACTGATATCAATACAATTTTCTTCTTCATTCAATTTTATACCTTCAATGTGCCAATTACTTTGCCCTAAAGGAAAATATTTTTATGTTGTAAACATTTACCTGAGTAATAAAGAAGACTAACCTAAGCACAGCCAAACATTTCGTACAATCTGGTAACTACTCATAAACTTGTTAATTTTATTTTTTTTAAACAAGTGAACAACAAACATCGACATAATATAGTTTGTAATATTACCAACTCCCTAAAAAAAATATAAGAAATTAAAGTTTAATAATTTTAACAAATTTTACATAAAATTAATATTACACATACTTTAAAATTTCTTTGAGCAAGCCAGATCTTTAATAGAAACAAAGCATCTTGTACATTCTGATTAGCATCAATAACATCTTTAAGCAATGCTTCATTAGAATTAATTACTAAATCTTGTAAGATAGAACTATTGTAATGGGGTGTATAGAATTTTTTTTCTGATTCTACAATAAGATATAAAAAAATAGTATTGGTAGTTAACCACTTTAATAATACAATGATGAATGTTAAATATACATACCATTATTTTCTCCAAAGTACCAGTTGTTGTCAATATTGTTAGCATTGGGTGAAAATAATTGATATTTATAGACATTATTTTCAGGCACGACTCTCAAAATAATATTACATTTTTTACTTAAATTGCCATCTGGCTTTACAATTAAAACAGGGGAACAATAGGATGATGATGCACACCAAAATTTTACATAATCACTTTGAATTAGGTTTGAAACTTTTAGTAGTTCTTTAGAAAGACACAACAAATAAAAAGCTTTTTTACGGAAATATCTTTCATCTGTATAATCCTTTTTATGAAAAAGAGTCTAAAAATAAAAAATTACATCTAAATAAATATCTTTAAAAGGCAGTTAATTTAAATATGTATTGAGTAAGCATAAGCCTTAAATTTGAGGATGCATTAACAAAAAAAAGATAATAATAGCTGTATAATAAATGTCTCTTTATTTATTTATTTATAAGTGGCTTTCTAAATCAGATAAATGATCTTCTTCTTCTTCCTCGCTTTAATACCAACTACTTGGGGTCGGCCACCCTTATCCTAAACTTCCACTTGATACAATCTCCCACATCCTCTACGCTCACATCAGCTGTCCTTATATGGCATTCAATAACATCTCTCCATCTCTTTTTTAGTCTTCCTCTACCTCTTCTTCATTCAACATTCATTTCTACAAATGTTCTTACGGCTTTCGATTCTTCTATTCTCATAACATGACCAAATCATCTAAGTCTATTTTCTCTCATCTTATCCATGATTGACAGTACACCTATACTCCCTCTTATATGCTTATTTCTTATCCTATCTTCTCTAGACATCATCCATCTAAGCATTCTCACTTCTGCTACACTCATTCTCTGTTCTACTTTCTTATCAACCGCCCAACACTCTGAATCATACATCATAGCTGGTCTCACTACAGTCTTGTAGAATTTACCTTTCAGCCTCATTGGAATTCTTTTATCGCATAAGACACCAGATGCTTCTCTCCACTTCAACCACCCGCACTTAATCTTGTGTTATACATCCTCGTCAATACCAACGTTCTTTTGCACAACTGATCCTAAATACTTAAAACTTTCCACCTCTCCAATCATATCCTCACCTATAGTTACTGATCTCATTATTTCACCTAACTCGTGTACTCCTTTATCAAACTCATACTCTGTCTTACTTCTACTTATTCTTAAACCCTATTCATCAAGAGCTGTAAATCAAATAAATGATATCTTACTTAATAAAAAAAATAATATTATTTATATATATACACAATAATATAGATACTAATTTATGACATTTGAACATGAATTTAGTAGTTAAAATATTTTTTGGTTTTTTTTTGTGGGGGGGGGATATTTTACTTTAAGTACATTGAGCAAAAAAATTATTTTATTTTATTAATTTAAATTTTCAGTGTTAAATTTTAGGTATAGAACTAAGTTAGCAGGTAGTTAAAGATTGACTAAATTTGTATTACCCTAGTCTATTCTATACATTTTTTATAATTTTTCTTGATCCTGAATTCACTACACAAGTGAATAATAATAATATGTTATAAGAACATTGTCAACACTAATTTTTATTAGATCCTAAGAAAAATAAAATTGAAAAGGGTCATACGAGTTTAAATAAACCAGACTGTGTAACGAGTACACGTAGATGAAGTAAAACTTCTTTCAGAGTACTGATAGAATATTAAATTTGTATTGGAATTAAATAAAAAAAAAAAACCAAAATATTATATTTTCAAATAAAATTCAAATAAAATTATTACTAATTTTCTTATTTTATTACCACGAAAAATATTATGAGTTCAACTGAAATAACTAATGTTTTTGATTAGACATACAAATTTCATCTATAGTGGCATTTTAAATTTTTTTTATGCATAATTAAAATTAAACTATTTAATGCATTTTAAATAACATTACTTTAACTTTCGAAAATATAGTGCTAAATTATAATATAAAATTATCATTTTTTACTTACAATTATTATTTATTAATAAAAGTATGTATAGATAATATTTATTATTGATATAAATTATTTATTTACATATAACACAATATAATAAATTATATTTAATCATTATTTTTATTAATTATTTATTATTGAAAATTTACTTAATTCATTGAGTAAAAATAAATAAATAAAAATTAATAGGAATGAATGATTAATATAAATAATAGATATTATCTATATTTATTTTTATATTCATAATAATTATTTATACTATTTTATTTTAAAAATTAATATAATTATAAGAATAAATAAATTTGATTAAATTATAATATAAAATATATGTAGCACTTTATTTATAAAAATTAGAGTATTGATGTTTAAAATGCATTATTTTAATTTACACATGTATGCAATTATGCATTTTTTTTAATTTAGAATTTGTGTATTATAATTATTTGTATAATTTTAGGGAATTATTTAAAATAAAAAATACAATGAATTTTTTTTAATTTACATTAAGTTAAATTAAACTACACAAATTTTTAATTTATATGTATTAAAAAAAATTATTGCTATAAAAAAGTAATATATTAAATAATGTTTATTATTATAATATTAAAAATCAAGTTGTATGAATTTAAAATCTAAAATATTTCTTTACATTAATACAGTAGATTTCAAGTGAATATTAATGTAAATCTTTATCGAACACATACATTTATTAAATAATACAATTTTGACCATATACTAAGTAGAACAATAGAATTCATTTAATACGATTATTGTACATCGCAATTGGGTATCACTTTTGCAAGAAACAGATTCTATTGTTTTATTAGGTATACAGTCAAAATTTTATTATTTAATTAACATATAATAGAACAATAATGTCTGTTTGATTCAAAAGGGACAATCCATGACATTCAACTGTGATGCTTAATAACCTTTTTTTAGGGACCCTCGGTAAAGACGATTCACTTCAAAAAGATTTAAGGATTCAACTTCCTATAAAAAATTTTTGATGGGAGAGAGTAATCTATGGATAATTTCAAAGTATTATGATACAATAGTAAATTTGATAATTTATAATTCATAATATCACAAGTTTTATAATTTAAGTCTTGTAAAGTGCTGTACCTAGTCATAATCCTACCCATTGTACTTTTATAACAATACAGATTAATTATTAATCTTAAATTTAAAGGTATACTATAAAAATATAAATATCAAGCATAGTTAAATATTAATAAATTGTATATAATTATATAATTACTTTTCCTAATATCAATGACACATCTATATTTAAAATAGGCATTAACGATGTTCCAATTGAATATGAACCAACTATTTTTACATCTACAGGTTTAATGAATCTAAATGTTCCATCTGTATTATTCAAAGGACTTAAATGAAAAGGTGAAACCAGTTCAGTTGAATTTATATTAGACAATAATTCCTAATGAAAAAATAATTATATTAATTATGAAAAAACTTTACATAGAGAAAAATTTTTATACAAATAAAATTGACAACTTTTTTTTTCTGAGATAACTAATTAATTCTTGATACATCGAATTCCTTTTAAGTGATAAAACTCATTTTTTAATTTTTGGACACATATAAATAAAATTATAAAATTTTAAGCTTTGACATTTATTATATTTAATTATTTTTCAGCTATGCAGTCTTACAAAAAATAGATTTAGTATTTAAATTACACAGAGTAATCTATTTAGTTCTTTTATAAAATTTGTAGCTTTATTTATGCCTCTATTCTTGCCAATAAGTGATATTAACAATTTTTTTTTTATAAGTAAAATTATTTAGTAGATGATAATAATTATGAAAGTAATAAAATAATTCAAAGATGTAATCGATTACAAATACTGTTAATTGTACACTAAAAAATGTTTTTAATATTCTAGACTATATTTAGAAAGTGTAGCGAAAGAACTTTGCCTTGATCTAAATCAAAATGAGAATCTCTACATATAAATTGCTAACTTATTTTAGCTCATAATTAAAATAATTTTCATAGATCTCGTATAAAGATCTTGATCTTAAAACGGAATATTCCCAGAACTATTTAAATCTGACCCAATTAATATAAAACCCTTTAATATGCATAGAAAAAGTGTACTTGCTTTTTTATAATCGGAATTATCAATTTCATTCAAAACTATCGATTTAAATTTTAAAAACCATTCATTAATTTTAATAAGAACTGGTTCTTTAGGTTTAACTTCTTTGAGCATTTCATCAATTTGCAAACGAAACATATTGGACAAAAATAAATTTTCTGTTTCTCGAAGTTTATTTAACTCCTCAGCAGTAGGAGGTTTAATTTTCTTGCCGTTTTCCATTATTTGTTTCTTCTTCCTCTTCCTACCAACTTTATTTTCGATGATATCCATTGACGATAGAACATCGTAGTCTTCTTCTTGATTTAAAGTCATGACAGTATTCAATATAAGAATTTGGATAGCTCGTTAGAATTTTTATCCAATGTTATTTACTGCAATCCTAGTGTAAATTAACAATCAAAGCTTACTCTCACGTGTTAATGTTTACAATTGTAATTGATAAAAAAATCGTAAATATCTATGATAAGAAATACTCAGTGTAGCCAACCCTATAGCCAATATTACAAACCTCTTTGTCGACAATTATCTGCCAAGATTTTTTACCCTTCTACCTCCCGTCAACAAATCCACTTCACTCTGTTATCACCACCGCCATCTCGAGAAACAGTGTTGAATTTGTAAATTTTATTTATTTTTTAATAAGCGTTCGCGTTCGCCAACAGGTAGACGTCGTTATCGCACGATCGTTTTCCGCCGCTACTCTATTAGTTATTATCTCTGTCATTCACGTAGTATTATTTGTTTATTGAATTGAAATAATAAAATTATATTAAATAATACTTATTCGTATGAAATATTTATAGAACGTGTAACACGCGAAGTGATAACACTTTATAATGTGGTGAAATGTGTTTTATTGTGTTGCCGCGCTCCCTTAAATATTGTGCCGTACTGTTGAGTTTCTTATTTTGATTTTTACTAGTTCAGTTTTACTTAATCTATGCTAGTGATTATATTTTATAGTGCCATAACGTTATAAGTGCGCGTTTAGCATTCGATTTTACAAATGTATGTTAATGTTTTAGTCAATTGCGCAGCGCCGCGACGGTACTGTATGTGTGTGCTTGCTTTGTTTTTCGATAACGTTGTTACCATTTTCTTCTCGTCTGGCGACCGGCATTGAATGATATTATCTTAAAGGGTGTTGCTTTTAGCAACCACTAAACTGCCTTACGCAGTTTCAAAATACTAACTATCATGGCTAATCCTAGAAAGTTCAGTGAAAAAATAGCATTGCACAATCAAAAGCAAGCTGAAGAAACTGCAGCTTTTGAAAAAATTATGCGAGAAGTTTCAGTTGCCACCTGTGTAAAGGTAAATGATTTCAAGTTTTTTTCTAATTACTCATAATATTTATAATAATTGCAGGCTATCTATGATTGTATATTTCCATTACCTTTTGTAAATTTGGTTTTATATATATATATGATTTGTTTACATATTNTCATAATATTTATAATAATTGCAGGCTATCTATGATTGTATATTTCCATTACCTTTTGTAAATTTGGTTTTATATATATATATATGATTTGTTTACATTGATTATTAGCATAGTGGTAATTTAAAGACTAAGTTTTAAAATATATATTTTCACTTCGCCCAAATTCATTTAAATAAAAAGTTATATATTTATTCTTTCAACTATTTAAACTATTCCCGAATTCAATCTGCCTCTCTAACCTTGTATATTTATTTAATTTATTGATTTTTGTAAAACGTCCGTATCTTGGGTTTTATGACATTTCTACTCGAATCTCAATTAAAATAATTCCTAAGATAAACCCACAAATAATCAAACTATAAATGTGCATAGAACATAAAACTATGATAGCTTAGGAACAATATATTTAAAAAGAATGATTTGATTTTTTTGGTGAAATTTCTGATTAATTATCTAGTTACTTAAACCATTTTAAATTAACTAGTTATAGCCTCGACAAAAATTATTGCATCATTTATAACTTAGATACATATTTAAGCCCATTAGTCTTCTTTTATGTTACGCCTTGCTAACTAAAAAGTCTCCTATTATAGAATTGTAAAAACTAAAAATGTACATAAATCAATTTATGATATTTTCTATATATGCATACATGATAACGTATGGTTAACTATTTCATTATATAAATATCAAAAATTAAAAATAATACAAGTGGTTTCAAAAATAAAAGTTACATAATTAAGCCTAAAATTTATAAAACTGTATAAATAGTTTTTATTCACTTTTTTTAAATTAAACTTTAACATAAAACTTTTGTCTAATTTTTAGTCATTGATAAATGCGAGATAATATGTAAAAAATTATATTTTTATGTTATCATTAATTCTTTTAAAGCACTTATAGTAATTTTTTCTATAGTTAAATGTTTTTTAAAAAATAGTTAATCAAATAATTTCAATTAGTAATAACATTTTAAAACTTTGCATTTCATTAATTTTTGTATATAATCATACAAGATACCAAATGCCTCGTATTTTAGTTGTACTAATTTATTTTATTTTACCTTTTTGTAATGTAGGTTGTAAAAACAATTACTTTTAACTATGAAATAGTAATATTACTAGTTTTACAAACTTTTGAACAATGTAACATGTAGTTATTATTTATATGTTTAGTTAATATTCTTATACTTGGTCAAATAGTATATGATTTGATTTTGTATCATACACTTTAGTCAGAAAACATAATGTCACACTAGTTTTACATAAAACTTTTAGAGTTATAAATAATCATTTTTTCCTCTTCTAAAAAATGGTCTAACTATGTGTTTGTGTTAGGCCAGCCTTAGACTATACACAAAAATCCTACTCTCTTGAATATCTTAAAGCCTTCATAAATTTGTTATCTGATGCAAGCAAAGAATAATATTTCAAACGACCCTATTTTGATCAATTGAAAATAATTTCCCTTTGCTAGTTAAAGGAAATAGATAAACAATACCAATTTGCAATTAATAACAAACCAGTATATTTATTGATTATTATATAAAAGATTTATTTATAAGAACGTATTATGTGAAAAATATTCATTTAATTTATATAAAATTATATTAATATTGCAATCAAAATTTTATTCATTATAAAATATTATTTGATTTCGAGTTTATTCGTTCATTTTTATAGCATTATTTAAAAGAAAATTTGAAAGTTCAATAAACTTCGTGCATTTATCAGTGCTAAAATGGTGTAAGTAAAAAATAAATGTTTAAATGTGTTAATCAATTTCAAACTGAAGGAAATAATTTTAACATCTCGGTAGTTTAATAATCATCTAAATTTANTTTAACATCTCGGTTGTTTAATAATCATCTAAATTTACTTTGATAAACTAAATATTTTATTTTTATACTTAATTTGTGAAAAATAATATTTTGAATAATAATTAAGCAATGTTTATTTCATAGCAAATTTGTTTATTTTTCAATAACTCTAAGGAATTAAATGTTCATTTGATCGATTTCAAACCGTTTTATATTTCCTAGAATAGCACCAATTATACCAATACAAAAATTTTTATGAATAATAGACTAATGTTTAGCACCCCCAAATTATTTTAATTAAATGATTCTTTGTGAATCAAAATTATTGAGCTCACTTAATATTTTCGTCTAATTTTAATGAAATTGATAGAATAATTTCTTTGTTATATTATATAACAAACGTAGTGTATATAACTTAATTTTTATACAATACGTACCGAAACAATTAAATAATATATTATAATGTTTAGAAGTGTAACTCCCTCCTATTTAAATTTCTCTACCACACTTCAAAACCTGTTTAGGTGCTATGTGATAGACAAAACCAGTCCAGCGAATTCAAATCGTTTTATATACACACTCAAGGCCGATTCGAATCAAATATTATCTGAATTACACGTGCTGTAAGGAAATTATTTACTCATGTTTATTTGCCTTTAAAAACTTCATGATTTTGTGGATTTGATGATGTATATACCATCTATGATAAAAATAAAAAATATCTAGATTCGTAATTTTTATTGAATTGATTTATAATTTAATTAATAACAACATTAATTTTATTTTTCTCATAANAATTTTATTCATTATAAAATATTATTTGATTTCGAGTTTATTCGTTCATTTTTATAGCATTATTTAAAAGAAAATTTGAAAGTTCAATAAACTTCGTGCATTTATCAGTGCTAAAATGGTGTAAGTAAAAAATAAATGTTTAAATGTGTTAATCGATTTCTAACTGAAGGAAATAATTTTAACATCTCGGTTGTTTAATAATCATCTAAATTTACTTTGATAAACTAAATATTTTATTTTTATACTTAATTTGTGAAAAATAATATTTTGAATAATAATTAAGCAATGTTTATTTCATAGCAAATTTGTTTATTTTTCAATAACTCTAAGGAATTAAATGTTCATTTGATCGATTTCAAACCGTTTTATATTTCCTAGAATAGCACCAATTATACCAATACAAAAATTTTTATGAATAATAGACTAATGTTTAGCACCCCCAAATTATTTTAATTAAATGATTCTTTGTGAATCAAAATTATTGAGCTCACTTAATATTTTCGTCTAATTTTAATGAAATTGATAGAATAATTTCTTTGTTATATTATATAACAAACGTAGTGTATATAACTTTGTTTTTATACAATACGTACCGAAACAATTAAATAATATATTATAATGTTTAGAAGTGTAACTCCCTCCTATTTAAATTTCTCTACCACACTTCAAAACCTGTTTAGGTGCTATGTGATAGACAAAACCAGTCCAGCGAATTCAAATCGTTTTATATACACACTCAAGGCCGATTCGAATCAAATATTATCTGAATTACACGTGCTGTAAGGAAATTATTTACTCATGTTTATTTGCCTTTAAAAACTTCATGATTTTGTGTATTTGATGATGTATATACCATCTATGATAAAAATTAAAATTATCTAGATTCGTCATTTTTATTGAATTGCTTTATAATTTAATTAATAACAACATTAATTTTATTTTTCTCATAGGAACTTTTTTTTTTACTTGATCGCATTTCTTATTTTACGAACGTTATGCGTATGTGATGTTATTCAACGAGATTATAAACTGACGTTTTGGATCCAACTGATAAAAGATTATAAACTAAAACATCTTAATATTTTGCATAATCGTTCAATCTGAATACGTAGTGATGGCATAAAGTTGTCTCATGGCAACAAATTTAGGTGTCCTTTACAATAAATTGCAATATGACCGTACCTATAAATTAATTATTTACAGACCAATAACGACAAATTGGTGTATATTATTATAGGTGTCAGTGTTGTTGTTATACACGCCAAATGTTGTTTGTCTTCCTCTTGTCTGGTTTATATTAAACAATTAAATCGATTCACTAAAAAAATGTATACACAATTATATTATTTTATCAGCGACATTGTCACGAGTGCATTATTTAATTAAGCATAATCTAACATGTCAAAAGATTTATTTGATTCGGATGTATAATGTAATTTTACCTAGCCTGAATTTTTTTATTAGAGCAAAAGTAAAATTAACCTAAAATTTTTTTTAGAAATTTCTTCTTATAAGAACTAAAATTTGTCATCTAAAAGATTCTAATAGCTAACCTTTAAAAAAAAAAAAACTGATATATAAGTTATTATTTACGCCGTGTTCCTTAAATTATACACAATAATGTCGGACTTCAGTCTCGGTGTATGTCTTCGAAATTTGCTTTGTATAGATGAACGAACGCGGTCAGAGATCATTTAATTTCAACACAATTGATAAACTTTTTGAAATCTGTTTAATTTTTGCTAACCTTTTATAAGAACATTACACATAAGCAATTGTATAAGTTAGTATATTGCAATTTGATTAGCGTGTTTTTAATAATTATTCATGATAGTTAAATCAATCTTTTTTCATTTGATAGATTGTAAAACAATATGCATAAATGAATAGGCTCGATGAAAAAAATTGCGTCAACTTGTAAAAATATATATGTATATTTTTATCGCCAAATTAGAATAAAATATTGAACCCGTAAACTAAATTCAATACCCGTTTTGACACAATAATTCTACGTAAAATGTGCAATAATAAACTTGTAATGATACAACTGAATCAATAAAGGCGTTTTTTGCCGATACCTACAAGTTAACAATTTCTAAAATTATAAAGCTTTTTATGTACAACAAGTTCGACATAAGCATGAACTTACAGTAATATACACGACACAAGAAACTATAATTTTACTGCTTAATAATTAAACAACTGCTTCTTATTCCAAAGTTACACAAAAATATGAACAGTGTTAGTTAAAACGTT